ATTTTGAGCAGAACCTAATAGGAAGTAACTTGAAAATACTTGTTAAATTCCTAGAAAAAGAGGTGTGTCTCTTTATAAAGACCTTGATGTTTCTGACCTCTCTGTTCTGTTACATCAAATCAATGATTTTTTGTATTAATCAAATAATTTTAGTTTTAATTATTATAGACTTGAGTGTTTTCACATTTACTTTGTAAAAATTAATAAAAGGAAACCTGGTTTAGCATCAAGTCAGGAGGACAGCAGGGAGCACTCTCACACCCTCCCAAATTACCACTCATGGTCAGCTGAAGACCCAACAGGAAGAGATGCACCTTGCAAGTAGACACTACTTAAGCTACTAATTTAGCTACTACTTTACTAACCCAGCAGGAGGAAGTTAAGATTTCTTCCACTCCAGCAACAGCCCAGCCAATGAGAAGCCACTACACTTTCAGCTCCCTGTTTACACCAATGGACTTTTAGTTTACAATATGTCCTCCTATATCCCCCTTTTCTCTCTAAAAGAACCTTTAATTCCTTTGATTTCTGGGCTTGCCTACTGTTTGCTGGAGTTTCCTTGTCCCAGATTGCAATCCTCTGCTATTCCTAAATAGACCCAGCTTTTGATGGTTAAATAAATGGCTGTCTTATCTCTAAGGTTACCATTATTTGGCAATCAGAAGTGAGATCCAGCAAAGACCCTAAACCACTCCAAGACTAGTAAGCAAACAGGTGCTGGTTCCCTCAGAGCAAACTAGGCTCATTGAGTCCTGCTGACTCTTTAGTTTAAGGGTAAATTTTCTCCTGGAATTTGAGCCCTGTTCTCTTTGTGTTCCAGCTCTCTAGGCTTTATTTGGGATCTGTTTTAAGGCTTCTTTTTTTCTGAGAGTACTTATTTAGCCTTCAGTCCAACTTCTTTTTGGAATTCTCTGTTCCTACTGGAATGATGCTGGCTTGATCTGATTCCTTCTGGAGCCAGACTGTTCCTGCTGAAATTATGTTGTTTCAGGATTATTCTCTTTGCTGTAGAGAAAAACCTCTAAGAAATGGGATCCCAGTCATCAAAATACTTTGAGAGTGCTCCCCCCCACCCCGCCCCGGCAACATACACTGGGACTCCAGCTAGTTTTATGTTTAAAAAGAAAATGGGGGCGCCTGGGTGGCTTAGTCGGTTGAGCATCCGACTTTCGCTTAGGTCATGATCTCGCGGTTCGTGGGTTCGAGCCCCGCATCGGGCTCTGTGCTGACTGCCCACTCAGAGCCTGAAGCCTATTTCAGAGTCTGTGTCTCCCTCTCTCTCTGACCCTCCCCTGCTCACGCTGTCTCTCTCTCTCTCTCTCCCCTAGAAATAAATTAAAAAAAAAAAAAAGAAAAAGAAAATGGCCAGGGGTGCGTGTTGGTTGTGTGTGAGCTCTTGATTTCAGCTCAGCTCATGATCCCAGTGTCGTGGGATCAAGCCCTGTGGTGGGCTCCGTGCTGAGTGTGGAGCTTGTCTAAGACTCTCTCTCTCCCTCTCCCTTTGTCCCTTCCCTGCTCATGCTCTCTCTCTCTCAAAAAAAATATATGGTCCTTCCTCATGTGCACGGACTTAACCAAAAGTAATTTATTTTTTATTTGACTGTAATCGACACACTCTGTTACAATACTTTCAGGTGTACAGCATAGTGATTTGAAAAGTTTATACATTATGCTATATTCCCCACAAGTGTGGCTACTATCTGTCACCATACATCACTATCATATTATTGACTGTATTCCTTATGCTGTGCCTTTTATTTCCATGATTCATTCATTCCATAACTGGTAGCCTGTATGTCCCACTCCCCTTCAACCATTTTACCTATCCCCTCACCCTTCTCTTCTTTGGCAACCATCAATTTCTTCTCTGTATTTATAGTGCTGATTCTCCTTGTGTATTCATTTTTTTTTTAATTCCACATACTGAAATCCTGTTACTTGTCGTTCTCAGTCTGATTTATTTCACTTAGCATAATACTCTTTAGGTTCATCCATATTCTTATGAATGGCATGATTTCATCTTTTTAATGGTTGTGTAATATTTCATTGTGTGTATGTATGTTTGTTATGTATGTATATACATACCACATCTTCCTCATTCATTTGTCTCTTGATGGACACTTAGGTTGTTTCCATATCTTGGCTATTATAGGTAAATGCTGCAATAAACATAGGGGTGCATGTGTTTTTTCATGTTAGTATTTTAGTTTTTGTTGGGTAAATAGTAGTAGAATTATTGGATCATATGTTGTTTTTATTTTTAACTTTTTGCATAACCTCTATACTGTTTTTCACAGTGGCTGTACAAGTTTATATTCCTATCAACAGTGTATGAAGGTTCCTTTTTCTCCAACACTTATTTCTTGTCAACACTTATTTCTTATCTTTTTGATTTCAGACATTCTGACAGATGTGAGGTGATATCTCACTGTGGCTTTGATTGGCATTTCCCTAATAATCAGTGATGTTGAGCATCTTTTTATGTGTCTCTTGGCCATATGTGTTCTTTGGAAAAATAGCTATACAGGATCTCTGCTCAAATTAAATTGAATTGTTTGGATTTTTGTTTTGGTGTTGAGTTATATAAGCTCTTTATGTATTTTGGATATTAACCCATTATTGGATATATCATTTGCAAATATCTTTTTTATTATTTTTTTAATGTTTTGTTTATTCTTGAGATAGAGACAGCGTGAGCAGGGGAGGGTCAGAGACAGAAGGAGACACAGAATCCAAAGACAGGCTCCAGGCTCTGAGCTAGCTGTCAGCACAGAGCCCTATGCGGGACTTGAACCCATGAACTGTGAGATCATGACCTGAGCTGAAGTTGGACGCTTAGCCGCCTGAGCCACCCAGGCGCCCTGCAAATATCTTCTTTAATTTAATAGGTTGCCTTTTTGTTTTGTTGGTGGTTTCCTTTGCTATGCAAACCCTTTTTATTTTGACATAGTCCCAATAGTTTATTTTGACTTTTGTTTACCTTCCCTTACACTTTCTTACACCATGCCAAAAACAAACAAACTCAAAATGAATTAAAGACCTAAATGTGAGACCTGAAGCCAATAAATATCCTGAAAAAACACAGGCAGCAATTTCTCTGACATAGGGGACATTTTTCTAGTTATTCCTAGGTATTTTATTCTTTTTTGGTGCAATTATAAATGGGACTGTTTTCTTAATTTCTCTTTCTGCCACTTCATTATTAGTGAATAGAAATGCTACCAGTAGTTCTGGGGATTAATTTTATATCCTGCAACTTTCCTGACTTGTTCTATTAGTTTTTTGTTGGAGTCTTGTAGGATTTTCTATGTATATTACTATTAAGTCATTTGTAAATAGTGACAGTTTGACTTATTCTTTGCCAATGTGGATGCCTATTATTTTTCTTGTCTGATTGCTGTGGCCAGGACTTTTGGTACTATGTTGAATAAAAGTGTCAAGAGTGGACATCCTTGTCTTGTTCATGACCTTACAGGAAGAGCTTTCAGTTTTTCACCATCGACTATGATGTTAGCTGCTGGTTTTTCATATGTGGCCTTTATTATGTTGAGGTATCTTCCCTCACATAAATTCACTTTGTTGAGAGTAAATTCACTTTGTTGAGAGTTTTTATCATGAATGGATGTTGTACTTTGTCAAATGATTTTTCTACATGTATAGAGATAATATGATTTTAATCCTTTTTCGTTGATGTAGCGTATCAGTGATTGATCTGTGAATATTAAAATTTTGTGAATATTCCTTGCATTCCTGAAATAAATCCCACTTGATTATGGTGAATAGGTATTAACTCTTCTTTAAAGAGTTTAAAATTCTTTGGGAGAATTCACCTTTTACCAGTCAGGTGCTCTGACAAATCTGTGGTTTGGCCAGTTTTACAACACTTTCACGGTGCATACCAGCCTCATTCCTCAGGGCTAGTTGAGTCCCATACAGGGCAGGGGAGGGGTGGAAGGTTCAGTCTTGTGACCCTGAGATCATGACCTGAGTGGAAACCAAGAGTCGGATGCTCAACCAACTGAGCCACCCATGAACTCTTTTTATTTTTTAAAAAACTTCACGACCTTCTCTAACAAAGAAAAATGCTAGTACTTTTGGCATTTTTTTATGTTTGTTTATTTCATACTGTTATTCAAATTACACACAGGAATGAATCTTCAGGATGGAAGAGAATAACACATCCAGGTAACTAATTTTATTATTATTATTAAACGAAAATTACAAGGCTTTAGACTTTCTGCCCACCTGAACCACCCTTCTCTTGTACCTGGAAGTCAGTTTGGTTTTGCTTGCCTGACTTTGCAATTTTTGCAAGAGCCCAAGGGACTGCAATCCAGTTGAGGAATCCCAGGGAGCTCAGGGTGGAAGCACCAGATGGGGTCGCCATAGGCCCCGCCCCGTCTCGGTGTTTGGCGGCGCATGCGCGCGCTGTGATTTGAAGCATTGTGGGTATTGAAGACCCTCTCCCAGGGCACTGTGGGTAGCGCAGTGCCGTGTCCCGGGGCACTGTGGGTAGTGCTGTCCTACGCCCGCCGGCGTCGCTGGTCTCTGGTGACCGTCCTTGCGCGCTTGTGGTGAGCGATTCCGCCGCGGCCGCCGTTCCGGGCACTGGGGTGGGGAGAGCCGGGCGAGAGCGGGCGGCGTCAGTTCACTGTCGCTGCAGGTTGCTGGAGGTTTGGTTTTCCCGGCGGGGTCGGGGCGGCCCACCTGGGAGGGGCTGTGGGCGGGAGTCTTGGCGGGGGGGCGCCGTTAGGCGGGACCGGGAGCCCGGCGTCCTGTCCTGGAGGGGCTGGGCCGGCCTGGGTGACGTGCAGCGCACGGGTGGGGGCCCCGCTGCCCGGCGAAGCGGGCTCTGACGATGCGGGGGCCCAGGTTTTGGAGGAAGATTGAACTGGGGCAAATAGCCAGCCTCGCCTCGATGGTGCGGGCGGACGGAGCCGAGACGGGTCAGCGGCCTCGGGCCCGCGGGCTCCTGGGCGCGTTGGAAAGGCCTGGCGAGGTCACACGTCCCCGGGTTGCGTGCGGCGTCCTTTGGCCCACCTCGGCGCTTCCCGCTGGTGTCTGCCTCCTCCCGGGGCCCTCCCAAGTACGGGGTGGCGCCCACCGGGCAGAGCACTTTCCCTAGACCCCCGTAATTACTGGAGGTGGAGATTTCCTTTGTGAAAATGAAACTGCGAGCGTATCTCTGGGCATTGTGTCTGCCCAGGGGCCTATGCCAGGTTTGCCGTTGGAGCCCCCGACCCCTCTGCCCCCTAGAGAGAGTTCAAATACAGATCTGCCCTTTTCCACTGACTCATCCTGGGCAAGGCACCGAACCTCTTGGAGTGGAGTGTGGAAAGCATTGAAACTTGTGTCTGGCACATGCTAAGTGCTCAAAAAACATTCATGTATGTTTCTACTAAGCCCCGCAGCACACGGAGGATTAATATACTGGGCGTCAGCATACGTTCAGAGCAGGTTTGCTCTAAAACCCACACCCTCCTGACTTTGTGGGGTTGTTCTTCCCTTCCCTGCCTGGTTCTGTGCCCAGCTGCATGCTTGGAGGTTTCCGGCCTGCTCTCTAGGCAGGGAGAGACTCCTAAGGTGGAGTCGGCTTCTGGTATGCCCAGGTAGGCCTTGGAGCAATCTCCCCTTCCTACTGCCCGCCCCACCCACCCACCCAGCCCAATCCCGAGGGAACTGCCTGGGAGGGAGGAGAGGGGTCCTAGGGACCTGGCCGCCTGTTGTGGATGGGCACCACTTCCTCCTGTACCCGTGGTGTCGACTTTGTCCTGTGTGTAGTGTCCCCTGTGGGCTCAGAGCTGCAGGGGGATTTCCAGGAAGCCTGGTTTGTCCTGCACAGGATGTCCTCCTCAGGCACATTCCTCTGCCTTCATTCAGGAGCTTTTTAGCTTTTCTATACTTTCACTCTGCTGTATTCCCAGGGCCTTGCAGAGTTGCCAAAACAAAGATGGTGAGAAGTGCTGTTTTGAGAAGAGCAGTCTTGTACTGGCCGTATTTTTATTTCCTCAGCCATCTTGCACATTATGTGGTAGAATGTTCATTTTGTAGAAAGGTAAATTGTGCAGTAGAGGATTAAACAGCTTTTACCGTGCAACTAGCTGTTCTTTAACTTTCAAAGTTAATGAAAATTTAAAAAGAGGTGCTTTTATTTTTAAAGATTGTATGAGACATCATACCTGTAATGCTAATGAAAAAATTCATTTTCTTAATCTTTTTTTTTAAATAATTATATTAGAGAAAGAGCAGGGGAGGGGCAGAGAGAGAAAATTGGAAGCAGGCTCCAGGCTCTGAGGTGTTGGCACAGAGGCAGAGTCAGGGCTGGAACCCACAAACGGTGAGATCATGAGCTGAGCCAAAGTCAAGATGCTTAACTGAGCCACCCAGGTGCCCCATCCCCCCAATTTCTCTCCTAATCCTTGGTCTCAGCTTCTAATGACTAACTTCTGTTGGTGACATTAATGACACTACCTTTAAAGTTCTACCTTCCTTAGTTTTGGGGTTGTGGAGGGAGATGGGATTATTAAATTTAAAATTATGAAAATTTTACAGATAGACAAAAATCACGATAATATTCAAAGGACATCTGTGTACCCCCTCACTCGGCTTCAGCAACTGTCAACGTTCTGCCCTTCCTCTCTTCCTTTTTGGCTTTCTCTCCTGAAGTATTTTGCAGCAAGTCCCAGATACCATTTTACTGGTGAATACTTCTGTATGCATCTCTTAGGAATTAAAAGCTTATTTTTTATTAAAAATTTTTATTGAAGTCTAATTACCCTACAATGTTTTATCAGTTGTGTATAACATATTGACTTAGTTCTATACATTATTCAGTGCTTACCACAATAAATGTAGTCACCCTACAATGTTATTACAGTATTATTTACTGTATCTTCTATGCTGTACTTCTCTCCATAACTTATTTTATAATTGGAAGTTTCTCTTAACCCCCTTTATCTTCTTGCCCATACACACACCACCTCCCCTCTGGCAACCACCATTTTCTCTGTATTTGTGAGTCTGTTTATTGGTTCAAGTGTTTTTGTTCTTTATCCATTCATCTATCAATAGACACACATTGTTTCTGTCCCTTGGCTATTGTAGATAATGCTGTAATAAATATAGAGGTGCATGTATCTTTTCAAATTAGTGCTTTCATTTTCTTTGGGTAAATACTCAGTAGTGAAATTACTAGATCATATGGTAGTTCTGTTTTTAAGTTTTTGAGGAAACTCCATACTGCTTTACACGTTGTACCAATTTACATTCCTACAACAGTGTGTACGTAGAGGTTCTTTTTTCATATCCTTACCGACACTTATTTGTCTTTTTAATACTAGCCTTTCTGAATGGTGTGAGGGGATACTTCATTGTAATTTTGATTTGCACTTCCCTGGTGATAAGTGATGTTGAGCATCTTTTCATGTGTTGGCCATCTGTATGTCTTCTTTGGAAAATGTCTATTCAGGTCCTTTGCCAATTAAAAAATTATTTTGTGGTATTGTAGAAGTTCTTTATGTATTTTGGATATCAACCCTTATTGGATATATCATTTGCAAATATCTCCTCCCATTCAGTAGATTTCCTCCTCCTTTTGCTGATGGTTTCCTTTACTATGAAAAAGGATTTTATTTTGATGTAGTCTAAATAGTTTATTCTTGCTTTTGTTTTTCTTGCCTGAGGAGACATATTTAGGAAAGTGCTGAGATGGCTGATGTCAAAGAAATTACTGTCTTTGTTTTCTTTGAGGAGTTTTATGGTTTCAGGTCTCACAATTAGGTGTTTAGTACGTTTTGAGGGTTTTTTCTCTTTCTTAAAAAAATCCAGTATAGTTAATATACACTGTTGTATTAGTTCCAGGTATACAATACAGTGTTACAACAATTGTATACATTACCCAGTGCTCATCAGGGTAAGTTATTCTTAATCCCTCTCACCTGTTTCACCCATCCCCCCAATTACCTCTTCTCTGGTAACTATGACTTTGTTCTCTATAGTTAAGAGTCTGGTTTTTTCGTCTCTTTTTTCCCCTTAGTTCATTTGTTTGGTGTCTTAAATTCCACGTGAGTGAAATCATATGGTATTTGTCTTTTACTGACTGGTTTGTTTCATTAAGCATTATACTTTCTAGAGCCATTCATGTTGTTGTAAATGACAAGATTTCATCCTTTTTTATGGTTGAGTAATTCCATTGTGTGTGTGTATCATATCTTCTTTATCCATTCATCTATCAGTGGACAGTTAGGTTGCTTCCATATCTTTGCTATTGTAAATAGCGCTGCAGTTAACATAGGGGCACATGTATCTGTTTTAGTTATTAGTGTTTTCATATTCTTTGGGTAAATACCCAGTAGTGAAATTACCGCATCATATGGGACTTCTGTTTTTAAATTTTTTTAATAGTTTACTGTCAAGTTGGTTTCCATATAACACCAAGTGCTCAACCCCACAAGTGTCCTCCTCCATGTCCATCACCCCCCTTCCCCTCGCCCCACCCCATCTGCCCTCAGTTCTCCGCATTCAAGAGTCTCTCATGGTTTCCCTCCCTCTCTCTCCCCCAATATTTCCCCCCTTCTTCTCCCCCATGGTCCTCATTAAGTTCCTCCTAATCCTCCTATATGTGCAAACATATGGTAGCTGTCCTTCTCTGCCTGACTTATTTCACTCAGCATAATACCCTCGAGTTCCATCCATGTTACCACACATGGCCAGATTTCATTCTTTCCCATTGCCATGTAGTACTCCATTGTAGAGATAAACCACATCTTGATCCATTCGTCAATTGATGGACACTTAGGCTCTTACCCTGTTTTGGCTATGTTGAGAGTGCTGCTATGAACATTGGGGTCCATGTGCCCCTATGCATCAGCACTCCTGTATCCCTTGGGTAAATTCCTAGCAGTGCTATTACTGGGTCATAGGGGAGTTCTATTGTTAATTTTTTGAGGAACCTCCACGCTGTTTTCCATAGGGGCTGCACCAGTTTACATTCCCACCAGCAGTGTAGGAGGGTGCCCATTTCTCCACATCCTCGCCAGCATCTAGAGTCTCCTGATTTGTTCATTTTAGCCACTCTGACAGGCCTGAGGTGATATCTCAGTGTGGTTTTGATTTGTATTTCCCTGATGAGGAGGGATGCTGAGCATCGTTGCATGTGTCTGTTGGCCATCTGGATGTCCTCTTTGGAGAAGTGTCTGTTCATGTCTTCTGCCCATTTCTTCACTGGATTGTTTGTTTTTTGGGTGTGGAGTTTGGTAAGTTCCTTATAGATTTTGGATACTAGCCCTTTATCTGATATATCATTTGTAACTATCTTTTCCCATTCCATCGGTTGTCTGTTAGTTTTATGGATTGTTTCCTTTGCCGTGCAGAAGCTTTTAATCTTGATGAGGTCCCAATAGTTCATTTTTACTCGATTCCCTTGCCTTTGGGGGTGTGTCAAGTAAGAAATTGCTGCGATGGAGGTCAAGGAGGTTGTTTCCTGCTTTCTCCTCTAGGGTTTTGATGGTTTCCTGTCTCATGTTCAGGTCCTTTATCCATTTTGAGTTTATTTTTGTGTATGGTGTGAGAAAATGATCTAGTTTCATTCTTCTGCATGTTGCTGTCCAGTTCTCCCAGCACCATCTGTTAAAGAGGCTGTCTTTTTTTCCATTGGATACTCTTTCCTGCTTTGTCAAAGATTAGTTGGTTGTATGCTTTTGGGTCCACTTCTGAGTTCTCTATTCCATTGGTCTATGTATCTGTTTTTGTGCCAATACCTACTGTCTTGATGATGACAGCTTTGTAGTAGAGGCTAAAGTCTGGGATGGTGATGCCTCCCGTTTTGGTTTATATTCTTCAATATTACTTTGGCTATTCGTGGTCTTTTTGGTTCCATACAAATTTTAGGATACTTGGTTCTAATTTTGAGAAGAAAGCTGGTGCAATTTTGATTGGGATTGCATTGAATGTGTAGACTGCTTTGGGCAGTAATGACATTTTAACTGTATTTATTCTTCCGATCCATGAGCATGGAATGTTTTTCCATTTCTTTGTGTCTTCTTCAATTTTCTTCATAAGTTTTTTATAGTTTCCATCATACAGATCTCTTATATCCTTGGTTAGGTTTATTCCTATGTATTTTATGGTTATTTGTGCAACTATGAATGGGATCAGTTTCTTGATTTCTCTTTCTGTTGCTTCATTGTTGGTGTATAAAAATGCAGCCGATTTCTGTACGTTGATTTTGTATCCTGCAACTTTGCTGAATTCATGTATCAGTTCTAGTAGGATTCTGGTGGAGTCTGCTGGGTTTTCTATGTAGAGTATCATGTCATCTGTGAAAAGTGGAAGTTTGACTTCTTTGCCAATTCTGATGCCTTTTATTTCAATTTGTCTGACTGCTGATGCTAGGAATTCCAGCACTACGTTAAACAACAGTGGTGAGAGTGGACATCCCTGTCGTGTCCCTGATCTCAGGGGGAAAGCTCTGTTTTTCCCTGTTGAGGATGATGTTAGCTGAGGACTTCTCATAGATGGCTTTTATGATGTTTAAGTAAGTTCCTTCTATCGCACCTTTCTCAAGGGTCTTTATTAAGAAGGGATGCTGTATTTTGTCAAATGCTTTTTC